GTCTGACAGTTTTGCGTATGTTAAGGTAAAAATGTTCTTTCTGTGGATATCATTCATTTACCTTAGTTTGGCCTCCACTTCCACATGAGAATTCTGCAAATATTTTAAAACATTGAGCTGTCTCCTCTACTCCTATCTTCAACAACTCTATTAATGCTTGTTTCAAAATATCTTCCTTAGAATGAGTTTTTGTTTTCAAATGTTACTTTTATAATTATTGGCAGAATCTGATATATTACTCCAAATGATAGGAGCTAATATATATTGAAAGCTTAAAATGTACAATGTAATCTTAAGCACTTAACATATATTATCTCATTAACACAATAAGCTTATTTCCTCTTGCAGATGGGAAAATAGGGTCTTGAAAAGACTACATAATGTTTCTTTCCAGAAGCTACTAAGCAGTAGAGCTGGTGCTTGAACCCAGATATTCTGGATTCCACTCCAGCACAGTGGATCACTAACCTATTCAGATAAACCTCTATACAACCAGTTGTTACTGGGCCTCTTTGATCTGAATATTATGCTTTTATTAGCTCAGCCTTGAGACTAATAAAATAGTTTTTTAAATTATTTTAATATTAGAGAGCATTGAAAGTCATTTAAAAGCCTTTCTATAAACTAGAATCATAACTTTTTATTACAAACCTAAATATAAAACTTTCCCAACCTTCCATAACATGAAGTATGCCATCTCTTCCTTCCTTTCTATTCCTTTCTTTTTTCACTGTCCTATAAGACAAGGATATCTGTTATTTTCTAGTAGCAAGAGGAGTCCAAGGTTCACATTCTGAAATTTTAGGTTAGCACTTCAGATCTGGAATAAACTATAGTTCCACTCCCAAAACAAGGAAATAAAATGGCACAGAGTCTTAATCCACTGGACTTTCTGGTACTTGACACTGTTATCTACATAAATGACTCATCCAAAAACTAGCATCAAGAAAATTTTTTGAATTTCATACTTACAGATTAAAATGTATTTTGGAGATTGGTCACTTTGCTATGATGTACATGGAAACAATACTTTTCTCTGATGTATATAGAAACAGTATATTTTTATTGGACATTAGCTAATGTATTTTTTATCACTCACATTTCTGAATATTTACCTCATTACTTTTTATTGATTGTCTAAAGTTTTAAAGATGTATATGTCCAATATGTGTCAGATATTATAACCAATAGGTATAACTAAAATATTTTAGCAATTTCAAAGGGATTAGGAGAACAAATGGTTCAGATACAGAAGAGGTGAAAGAGACTGGAATATTTGATCACATACTCTAAATTGTACAGCACTGAGTTTATTTTCATCTGATTTAGAATTAAATTTGAAATTAGAGTTTAACCCCAAAGTTTTCTAATCTAAGCATTATTTTAAAGAGTAGACCATGTTAAAGTTAAAGCATTACTCTTTTCTCTAGTCACTGTGAAAGGAAACTGTTCAAAGAAGGCCAAGTTCGTGGGACAAAGTCAGGCTTGATCCATGATTTTAGGAATGGCCACAATCACTGGTTCTTTCACCAATCTGAATAAAAGTATGATTTACTTGCTAAATAGCTAGAAAAGAAAATACTTAACTGACATTAATTTTCATCTCCAGGCAAGAATTTTAGAATCACAAGATTTGAAACCCCTCCTTAAGCATGTGGTAGAGCTGATAGCCTCATGGCAGCTAGGAAGCAAAGAGAGAGGGGAAAGGGCCACAGTCCCGATGTACCCTGCAAGAGCTTGTGCCCCACAACCCAGTTCCTCCAAGGGGGCCTCACTTCCGTAAGTTTCACTACACTCAGTAGTGCTGCCATCTGGGAACCAAACCTTTGGGGACATTGCAGATCTAAATTGTAACAATAACGAATTTAGCTTTGTCATTTTGTATTCTTTTCATAAAGGGAGATCTTGCCCATGAATGATTCATCTAGCACTTTACACATTTGACTCTGTCTTCTTCAAATATTCTTTTTTATTGAGTTTAATTGGCAAATAAAATCATTAACCTATACTGTCCACAACATCATATTTTAAGATACTCTTCATATATTCTTATCTAGCAGTGTTTCAACTTTTATAAACATTAAAATGACATTTAATAGGAAAAAAAGATTTGAAGTTCTTCCTTGGTGTGCCTATTTAGGACCCATTATAATGGAAGATAAACTCTTATCCTGTATTATCCAGTTGTTCTGCCTGCAGGTCTTCACTGTCTTAGAACTGTTTCCTGTTATTAGCTAGCATCTCATTGGGCAACACTTCCTATTGCTAAGCATCTCCTCGGGAAAGTACCTTCATTTTTCTATTATCCGTAGAGTTAAATTATAAATTCAGCAGGTTAGCAACTGCATATAATAGATATTTATATACTATCTAACATTTTGTTGGTATTTAGTACATTTTCTATACTCTCCTTTAGTATTCAACTTTTTCATTAAAATTGAGAATTTATATGACCACAAATATTTTTAAATGGCAATATCTAAGCCCTCTTTACAGATATAATTTCTTTTTTGGTAGGCTGAACTCTAAACAAGGATCAGAGAATACTAGGAAAAGAAAACTCAAGAGCAATGAGGAAGTAGGGAATGCAAATAAAAAATTCATGATTGAAGAAATCTAACTTTGATCCTTAAATTCAATGGGTGACCTTGCATAAGACCTGTGAGCTCTCTGGGACTCTAAAATTAAGTCAGTTAGATTCAAGCATTCTGGCCTTTGATTTTACATAAAAGAGAGAAGGATACATTTATTTCATAATAGGTTCTAAGAGAAGTCAACCTCAAATACTAAAAAAACTAGACATTTTGCTTATCTTATTCTCATCCTATTTCTCAGACTACATTTTAGAGATTTTGGCTACATGGGAATAATATTATATTATTTAATGTATGTTTATACTGTAATGGGAAATTATCATGGAGTCATGGTGAAAACACATTTAGCATATCTGACTTGCATCCCCTCCAAAATATGTCACTATATACAGCAGAAACTGACTAAAATGGAGAAAAGTCTTGAAGTATCAATGTATACCTATTATTTTACAGATAAGGAGGGAAATTGTCATTAAAATTTCTGTGAATGGGCCGGGGATTTATCTCAGTGGCAATGTGCCTGACTCGCAAGTGAAAGGTCCTGAGTTCAATCCCTGGTACCAAAAAAAAAAAAATTCTAAGAATAAAATTTCTCAATGAAAAAAAATTACTTTCCTGAAGTTTTGGAAGGTTTTGTTTTTCTAATAGTTTTCAGAAGTTGTAAAGAAAGCATACAACCTCAGCATCAAATTTATCAACAACAGATATGCTGGTTTTCAGTTACTCTATGCTCTTCTTTTTAACTATTGAATTTTCTTCACAACTGAACTTTATGTAAATTTCTTCTTCTCTCTCATAACCTTGTCCTAGATTTCCTTTCACCATTTATCTGAATAAAGTATGACACACACAATGCCTCTAATCCCTCAAGAATCTATATGCCAAAAATTTACTACTTATAAGGCTCTTTTAAATATGAGCACATTTAAGTCTGGGTTTGATACGGCAGACCTCATGACCATGTTATATGTGAGGAAAAAAAACAGTGCTTAGAGAACTTGTCATATGGTCCAAAAGTCACAGGAGAGTACTGGCAGGAGCCCTAACACGGATGCTCTGACTACACCCCCAGACACGAGACTCTTTCCCTGCTGAAAGCCACCTAGAACCAGTCATGTGATAATGATGGGGAAATTTTTCTTTTATGCTTTATCTACAGATAAAATATTAACAATTTTATAATTTTATGTCCAACACACCCATCCCATCATCATATGACACTTTATGATTTTAAATTTTACTCATCAAGTTCACAAGGTTAAGTAAGCATACATCAGAACACTATGCAAGGTTTCAAGCATAGCAAGTCAGCCCAGAGACGAGGTGCATAGATAAAATGTTGGTTTCTGTGACACATATTATTTGCATATTTATATTATTCAGTGGAGGCTGGAAATGACCTCTACAAGAAGTATATTAAATGCCCTTTTTGATTCCCCTGGTTTTCAAACATTCTTCTGAATATATGACAATTCACATAAACCAGTTCCTCCCCCAGATCCCACTGAACTCTATCTGGTGAGGATCTAATAGCTGGCTTTGTAACTTTCAAAGCAAATATTAATGTAAGAGCACAAAGCAAGATGTTGCAGTGAGCAAAAAGAAGACAGACTATGACAGTAAAGTGCATCAATAATATTCTTAAAATATGAGATGCGTATACATGTATTACCTTTCCCTCTCTCCCTACCTATTTCTCTTTCTCATTTGGCATTTCTACTAAATGATCTGTTAGATACAATTCCCTTGGAAACATTTTATTTTGTTTTGTTTTTTGAGACAGAGTATTACTACATAGTTCAGGCTAGCCTAGAATTCACTAGGCAGCCCAGACTGGCCTGGAACTTGTGGCAATTCTCCTGCCTTAGTCTCTCAAGTGCTGGAATTACAGGTGTGGGCCAACATCCCCAGCTCTTAGGAGATTTTCTATACTAAACCTTCAAATTATTTCTGTCCTATATCTTAGCTTTTCAACCAAACTTTCTATTACTTTTGGTTTTCGAGTATATTTCTTTGAATTTCAAATGACTTCAAGTGATATGTTGCTTTCATTCATCCCATTGTTAACTAAATTCATTAAGAAAAATTCTGAAAACATTTCGAAATGAACGCAGAATTCAACACTCATTCCAATTCAGCCTGCGACAAGGCACATCCTTTTCTTTGCCCAGGGCATGTCCTGATTTACTCTTTAATTTACTGAAATCAAAAGGCTGCTTTGGGAGCATGTTAATACTCGCTCCATTAGTTAAAAGACAGATGGAGGAATGAATTCTAAATATCTTATTTCCTGCTTTTAAGAAACACCTTTAAATTCATTTCTTTTTCCCTCACATTGACATCGTATTTTAGGATTGCCTGGAGTAGGGTCCCATGCCTTGGGGTCCCACCCGTTTTTCAACTCACCGGCTGCCTTTTGACACCTAGCCAGTTTTTCCACACCAGGACCCGGAGCTGATGAAGCTGGGAAGCCATCCTTCAAACGCCCACAATGAGAGAATTCCTCTTTTCTCCTCCACTCCTCCAAAGAAGAATCGGTGCCCTGTGTAACTTGCCGTGTGTCAGTGGGCCGGGAGCCTTTTCATGGCATAGCTTTCTTTGAGGCCAGGCCAAGAAACCCACAGCTCTTCTCTTCCTACTGGATCTTTCTTTCCAGCTAATCCTTGTCCAACAAGCGCTTCTCAACCAACTTTTCCTCCAAAGAGAGGACCCAGATCAGCCTCTTCTGGTGGCTTGTGCTTATTTTAAAATAACATCTGCTTGTTGCATGAAGTCCAGAGTCAAGGAGAATGAGTATCATTCAGATAATGTGCCACTGTAAAAAAAAAAAAGATGTCCCACACCTCCTACTCTCTGTGAAATTAACTGCCTATCCACACCTTAGAGAACCCGTCACCTGGACTATACACGTCATGAGGAATTAGGTGGGACCCTTGCCAGGCCAGTAGGACTTGTCCTACATTCTCCCGCCTTCTTTTGTGACTGGTTCATAGTGCCTGCTCTGGCAGAGACAGAGCACAGAAAGCATTTCACACACTCCAAGCACAGACTCAGGGCCTAGTGATTCTTTTAAGAGTCAAGAAGTTTTAAGTCAATAGGCCAGAGTTCACCTGAGAAAGCTTTGAACCTCAGTCCATAATACACACACTGTGAAAGTATCAATTGTTAACCAAAGCTTAATGCTTTGATGGGGTTGAGGGCGGGCTAAGTTGGCTAGGTCCTACCTTCTATTGAAGTTTAGTTGGCTAAGCATAACGGAGAACATAAAATGACATACATTGGATTCCCTCATGCTGACAGCTATGGTTAAAGGGAATGGACTAACCCAGGATATTTCTGCCATTTCCTCTACCAAAGTACCCTCCTCCCTCTCTCATCTTCTACCTGTCAGAATTATCTCCAAAGCTGACATCTTCCATAAAACCTTTTTAGATATCCTCATATGATTTTTTCTTCCTTTTCAATCCAGCACAAATCTTTGCTGCTCTCCAATAACTTACATTTTTCTTTCTTTTTTTTTTTTTTGTATGTCTCATTTTTCTCATGAGATTGAAAATCCTTCAAGGGCATGGACTATTGTGTATCACTATATTTAACATACAGCTGGTACTTAACAATCACTACTGAATTATATCTGAGTAGACTCTTTAAGTCAAGGATGCTTTGGTGAAGTTCCCATTTGATTCTCACGCTTTGCCCTGACTGATCCAATTACAAAATCAAAGTATTGTTTGAGTTCTTCTTTCAAACCCAGAGTCAATACTGCTTCAACTGCTTGGTCTCCATGCCAACTATGCAAGGCTCATGGCAACCAGCCTTGGGCTGACTGTAGCCATGATCATACATGCCCACTACCTCAGTCTTGGCTCCATCCCTTCTGTGATGAAGCTCTCCAAACCCAGTCCCCATAAGGGAGTCAGTCTTGACTATCTAGAATGTGGCTGTTTAATTTATTTCTGGACAAGGTTAAGGACAAGTATTTTTTGGACAGAGGAGAGCCCCTGGGATAATGCCTTCCATCAACACACCCAGGGCTCAGTAATCGAGGTTGTCTGGCTTTCACAATCTGATCTTTGAGGATGACTGCAGCCCCTGCTCCCTGCCTTCCTCTACTGCTATCTGTCACAATCTAAGTCTCACTGATGATTTGGTTCACAAATAAACATTACTGAGATGTGAGGACAAAGTGGGACTGGGGATGTGGGACTCGGGATGTGAATCTACATGTTGAGGGACATTGCAGGCATAGTTGCTCTACTTAGGTTACTTCAGGTTAAAAAGGATTGAGTCACCACATGGCTGATGCAGGTGAGAGGTCAGTTCAAAGTGGACCACATGGTTTCTCCCAGAATCTTCTATTCCCTCTCCAGGGTAATCACAGACCTGTTTGTTTGAGTTGTTTATTTAACTTCAATTAAAGCTCTCTCAAGCTGTCCTCTTCATCTACTACCTCTAAATTTCTAATGAAAATAATGTATTTTATTACAACTCATGACTTCCCAGGAGATCTATTTCTTCAAAGTATTTCTGTGCTATAGATTAAGTATTTAATATATATAAAATATTCTTTCATATTTGCAATCACATTGCCATAGGTCCAAATGTTGCACATTCTTCTTTGGAGACTGGAAAATCTTTCATGAAACATAATTTGAAATAATTTAAATTGGGGTACATAGGAAATCAGACTTAAAAAATTTTCCCCACTGTGAATATGTAGATCTCAGCATCTATATAGACCATATATATTTCTGATATCTTCTTTAAATTTGCAAATGTATTTTAAGAGAGAATTTTCAAAACTTTTCTTTTTTTTTTGGTACCAGAGATCGAACTCTGGTCCTTGAGCTTGTGCAGCAGGCGGCGAAACCACTGAGCTAAATCCCCTGCCCAAAACTTTTCTTAAAAGTCATGTTCTAACATTAATCTTGGAAGCTTTAGCTTATATAAGTTAAGACTCACAAACTCTGATCAGAGCAAAACGTGAAGTGTTTATTAAACCAACCAAAAGGAAACAACAGAAAGAATGTCCAAGAAGCTGAAAGATAATAATTGCACAGAGGAAAATCCCAATCCTGTACCTTAATTTTGATTATAGTTGGAGTGCAGCAGGCAGTCATTTTAGGTTTTTTCCTTGAAGGAAAAAAGACAACAGGTAACCAAAAATAATTTGCACCCAGGATACATAGCTGCCAAAATTTTTTTTTTTTAAGAGTAGGAAAAATTTATTGGGAGAAAGAAAACTTCTGCCTAAGAGAGACAGAAGGGGGACCAGAAGTGGGTTGCCTGCCCACCCCACTTTTCAAAGATATTTTATATAGCAAAGCCATGTGGTGAGGCGGGTACGAAGTGGAACAAAACTATAAGACCCAATGGAAATTTACAAGGTGGGCACGAGGTAGGCCAAAACCATGACCAATCAATAACATTACAAGTACAGTCACCCAGGTAATATTGGTTAAATGGGGGTCAAATGGGGGAGCAAGTCATGAAGGAAGCATACAAGGATTTTCAGTAAGGGTGGGGTCAGGGATATTTCCTGGAGAGGCTGGGTTAAGACCTTGACCCCCCACCTAGGTGATTGATACCTATTTATAATATCAATCACTGCTATTTATCACCAGGGGAAGCACAAGGGTGTGTAGTTTCTCTCCTTTTACAATTCTGGCCTTCAGTGAATGTGTCTTGACTGTCCTCCATGTTGGCTCCTTGCTGTGTTGGCTCCTGGAGGGCTGGTCCTGTCTAACTGCACACACACAAGATATCTGATTAACTTATCTATCTGCAACATTCTCCCCTCTGAAGAAGTACCCCTAACTGGTGTAAGGGGGCAAAAGGCGAAGACCATTCTGGCTACTTCCAGCTGAAGAGGGTCGTAGTTGTGATCAGCAGTTAGAGTTACTCTACAGAGAGTCTATCCCTTGGTAGGTGCTAGGCATTGTCATCTTGGTAGCCATATAGCCCAAAAAAATTTTTAGCAAGTGAAACTGAGGAGCAAATAAACAAAGGCAAAGTTAAGACAACTCATTGTAAGAAAAGAAGTACCTTGTTTACCAGTAAGCTGTTACAAATTTTAGTCTTGTAGTTGTACTGAGACATTGCTATTACTCTATCCAGCAGGACCATGGTGACCTTCCACCCACTACGTCATTCTAGCGCTTCTGACGCAGGCCAGTAGACCCAAGCTATCCTTAAGGATTTTCATTTCTCGTAGTATCTACCTAAACTTCCTTTCTCTGCTGTTGCTGACTATACTCCTTGAAGATTAACAAGGGCATCTTTCCATCAAGCAAGGAGCCATTACATTTACTGAACTTTGACAATGATTTTCGTTGTTTTGTTGTTGTTGTAGTTTTGTATACTTACTTTACCAACAGTAAAACTGTGATGGGTTTATCATAGAATCCAATGATTCTAGAGTTCTACCTTCCTGAGCTCTAGTAAGTGCTAATTTTAAAGAATAGTTCAAGTAAATCATATTTGACTAACCTATTCCCAGAACTTATTTTGGGCATGTGAAGTCATCCTTCTGAGGCTGCTTTGTCTAGTGCCCACCAGACTGACTACTCTTATGGTACATAGGTAGAATGATGGCTCCACCCATGCTATGCAGAGGTGTGAAGTCGGAACTGCAGGAGCATTGAATGTGGCAGCTTATATCACTCAACCTGTTGTATATTACAGTCCAGGACCAGGACAGGAGGAAATCAGCCCAACATCAATGGTATTAATATGGCTACAACACATTAATTTGTTTTAATAGTATTTCTTAAAGAATTTCCTTGATAATAATAATTTATTATAATTATTTTAAAATAATTAATTGACTACAAAGTCCCAGTATGCTTAATTTGTTAACATTTAATAGAAATCTAGCCCAGGTTTTGCTGCATAGTAAGTGCTCGATTAATGATTATTGAATGCAAACCACACATTTGTAAGTAGTTATTGAATCATCACAGGGGCCTTGTCATGTGGAAACTGTTACTATCCTCCTTTTCACAGGAAGAAAATGACATCTAGAGGTTCCAGAATTTGCCTGATTCATCTAGTTAGAAGTGGGAATAGTGAGAATAGGAGGCATGGAATTCTAACTCTATGTTGTACTTTCCATCTGCATGTCATGTTCTCTCCAAACCTAAAAACTGCACCCCCAGGGAAGAGTTGAGAAAAAAGAAAAAAGAACTTGAGGTTTTTCCTGGTCCTTTATGAGTTTATAAAAGACTTGTGCAGTTTTTTAAAGTATACATACACAAAAAATTATTGCCAAATAAATGCACAAAAATAATCACTCCAGAAATTCAGAAAAAGGAAGTCTCCACTTTCAGGTTTCTTAGTTGAGCATCAAAACACTTCATAGCCTGGCAAAGTCACTCCATCCTCTGCCATCCCTCCTGCCATCTGCTGTGGAGCTGTGGATGAAGACTGCTCATTTTCAAGCTTTGGTCTTGCTCTTCCCTCTGCCCAAAATGAAACTATGCTCATTCTTGAAAGACTGACTCATTACTCATGGGTCACTTCCTCATGGAGCCCTTTCCCAGCACTTCCATCCACCACACCCTCACCCCAGGCTGAATGAATCACCCTTTATCTGTTTTTCCATAAACTTTTGTTCATAAAGATAGTCAACTCTTCACTGTCCTCTCTTACAGTGACTTGGTCTCTGCTTTTACTCTGAGCCCCTTAAACGCAGGGACCATGACTTATAGAACAGTAAGAATTAAGGGTTAATTCTATATCTTTGGAGAACAGTGAGAACTCTAGCCTTACCAGATCAAAGTGCAGGTTTGAGATAGTAGAAGACAAAACTGAAGAGTTAGGGATCTGATGATAAGAACAGAGGATGTCATGTTGCAGCTTTAGACAGAGAAGTTCCTGGAAGCTCTTCTAAAAAGAGCATGATAGGGAGAGCTGGAGGGGTTGAAGGGAGGGCTGGGCAAGGGTGAAAAATAAGAACCAAGAGAGACTATGTAAAGGTGCAAATCTCCAATGATGAATGTCATTATGTTGTATACCTAAAATGTACCAATGATTAGAATGAATAATCGATGATGTAAAATAGGAAGAAAAGGTCCAAAGGGGTAGGGGTAGTGGGAGGGGCAGGGGAAAGGAAAGAAGGGAAAGGAAAAATGATGAGAAATGGAAAAAGTGGAAATAAAGTCTTTGTAAATAGGGAAGGGTGGAGGGCGTGAAGGGAGGGCTAGGAATGGGGAAAAAATAAGAACCAAGATGCATCATGTAAAGGTACAATTCCCAATGAGAAATGTAATTGTGTTGTATACCTACAATGTACCAATAAAAGAATGTAATACAAAAAAAAAAAGAGCATGTTAAAACTGATGTGGGGGAAGATAAGAATTTTAGTATAATGAGATAGTAAATGAAATTGACCCCTGAAACTTATTTTGAAAGCAAACATGAAAAAGTCCTTGTACTTGAGTCAAAAATAAAGCAAAATAGTTTCGGAATTTAATGGCAATCAAAACCATAATTTTACTCCTTTGCCTCCAAACTGCATCAATGACAAGTTACTTTTTAAAAAACTATTAGTTGACTTTTAGCAAAGGTGCTACAAGGTATTAATCTCATACAAACTTAATATTTATGATAAACCTGTGAGGTCAGTATTATCTCTACTCCAGGGATGAGGAAGTATAGAACAAATAGCTTCTCCAGGTCACACAGGTAATGATTGTCAGAATTGCGATTTGAACCCAGGTCCCTGTGTCTGCAAAGCATGTTTTCTAAAAAGGAATAGTGATTAAAAAAAAAAAAAAAAGACATGGTACTGGAACAAAAATAGACATGTGCATCAATGAAACAGAATTGAGGATACTGAAACCTCAATATTCAGTATTCAATATTCAACTATCTGATCTTTGACAAAGGGGTCAAAAGCATGTGTTGGAGGAAAGATCTCCTACTCAACAAGCCGTGCTGGGAAAACCGGTTATCTGTTTGTAAAAGAAGGAAACAGGACCCTTATCTCTCACCATATACTAAATGAAATAAAAAGGGGAAGTTGCCGATGTAGCTCAGTGGCAAGCACGGGTCCAGAGTTTGATTCCCAGTACCAGGAAAAAAAAATTAAACATTAAAACAGAAATAATGAACCTCTACAAGATAAAGGTAAAACAAGTAAAGACAGGTATAGGAAAGGATCTTCTAAACAGAACCTCAATCACACAAGAAATAACAGCAAGAATCAACAAATGGGATTGTACAAGACTGAAAATCTTCTGTACAGCAAAAGAATCAATCAGTAGAGTGAAGAGACAACCTACAAAACAGAAAAAAAAATTTTCACCTACTCCTCAGACAGAGGACTAATATCTAGAATGTACAAGTAACTCCAAAAAAATTAAATCTCCTAAAAATGAAAGATCCAGTCAAGAAATGGGCAAGAGAAATGAACAAACACTTCACAGAAGAAGAAATAGAAATGGTCAACAGATATATGAAAAAATGCTCAACATCTCTAGCCATTAGAGAAATGCAAATTAAAACAACTCTAAGATTCCATCTTACTCCAGAAAGAATGACAATCATTAGAAAATCAAATAATAACAAATTCTGGCTTGGCTGTGGTGAAAATGGAATCCTCCATTGTTGGTGGGAATCCAAGCTAGTACAAATATGGAAGTCAGTATGGAGATTTCTCAAAGAACTGAAATTAGAAATTCCATACAACCCAGCTATCCCCCTGCTAAGTATCTTCCCCAAAGAACTTAAATCATCATACTACAGTGATACTTATATACCAATGTCTATAGCAACACAATGTGTAATAGCTAAATCCTGGAATCAGCCTGTATGCCCATCAACAGATGACTGGATATACAAAATGTGATATCTATGTATAATAGAATGCTACTTTGCTATAAAGAATGACAAATTTAGAGCCGGGGATTTAGCTCAGTGGTTCCGCACCTGCCTCGCAAGCGCAAGGTCCCAAGTTCGATCTCCGGTACCAAAAAAAAAGAATGACAAATTTGAGACACATAGGAAAATGGATGCACTTGGAAAATATAATATTCAGTGAAATAAATCAGTTACACAAGCTTAAATACCGTATGCTATCTTTCACCTGAGTAAGACATAATATAAACAAGGAAAATGATAGAGGATTGATAGAAAAGGACAAGCAGACAGATCTCTCACAACAGGGAAGCAGTCCAAGGGAACTAGGATGAGGGGTGGGGGGGAGGAGAGGAAAGGGAAATAAGAAGAATAAAGATGTACCATAAACATGAACCTAATAACCCCAATTAATGTAAACACTGTATGCCATACCATGAGTTAAGACAAATACTATCAACTAGTATGAAAAAGAGGATAGGGGAACCACTGGGGGAGAAGGGAGGGGCAGGAACGGGAAGGAAAATAAAAAACAAACTGTAATATGTACAAGAAACCACTCCCAAGATGACTGTAAACTGTATGAATTGCAAACATGTAGTAATAAAACTGAAAAAAAGAGAATGTTCTCTAATAGGTCCTCATAAAGCACACATGGATGATAAACCATGGCATCCATATCAATTTAACCCATGTGGAAATGCACAGCAAGTTGGAAAATTGAAGCTAATTCATGACAAAAATGACAACATCCTCCTTTGAAGAGCAGGGTGGGACTCCACCTGAGGATTAAGATAATGAGGTACCAATTGCTAATGCATATTACCTAAGATCCACCTATGATGTAAGGTGCTGATAGGCAACGCTATGAAGCAGGTAGGTGGAAGGAAGGTATTAGATTTAAGATTTTCAGGTGCTTTCTCAGCACCAGCACATTCCAATAAAATGTAGACAGAATAATCCTCTCAAGAAGCAACAGGTCAAGATTTAATCCACAAAGCCAGAAAGCAATACAGTTAAAGAATTCAAACAAAACTTGCTCATTCTAAACTAAGTTATAAGGCACCTGGTTCCTCCAAGGCGGTGCAATGCTACAGGATGCTGCATCTCAGCATAGTCACGTCAGGAGAGCCACTTTGATAAGCCAACTGATCATCTGACCATCGAACCAAGCGGGTACAGGAATTTCAAGATGCTTTGCAACCTCGTAAAGAATTATTCACCTACTCCCCCAAAGTGAGTAATAATTTACTTGGCTAAACTGGTAAAGTATATTGAATTAGTTAATTTTACTACATCTGTTACAGAAATCTTGTGGAGAAAAGAAATAATGAAAGGCTATAAAACTTGGCACTTTGGGGGCCAATTATTAAAATTAAAGGAAAGATTTGAGGTAGAGGAAGGAAGATCTATCCTTCTCTTTTTGTGATGCAAGTCTTAATTTATTTTAGAAGAAAAACGAAAAGTGAAGATGAAAAATATTATTATTTTTTATTCTCAACTTATGTTTTCAGCCCATGAAATCGAAAGCAGATTAAAACACAAATCTATATTTTTGTCTAGTATTATTCCTTGGAAAAACCTACAACAAATCAACTTCTACATGTGTTTTAGTCTTTGGCAAATGTCCTCTTTCCAGAGCAATTTAAAAAAGAATTTCATAAATATACAAGATTTCTAGATTTAAGTGTCATCATGAATTTTCTTGAACACAATAGAAACTATCTTAGAAAATAGGAGTTTTGTTAGATAAGCTAGAAAATTATCTTCCCTAGCATTTTTTAAACTCCAGCTTTCAGTATAGGAAAAATGTCAACTAGTTAGCTGTTTCCTTAATCTTGAACAACAGTTTTCCACATATTTGCAATATGCAACTACTACTAAATTATTTTGAAAGGTAAGATGAGGGGAGAAATGACTGGTCAATATTTCAACTAAGATAATAAGAAAATATTTTAGTTAAAATGTTTAATGATTCAAATACTAATGAGCCCATCCACAGAGAAGGAAGGTCTTTGCTTTCTTGCCCCTGTTATGGCCTCCTTGAGCAGCACTTCTCTTTCATCAGGTCTCCCAGAAGCTGTATCAGGCAAGCAGAAGGAATGATATCAGGAGAAAATGAAAGGCAACAACTGATTGTCCTGGGTATTGGTATCTAATAATTTGACTTGTGACCAAGAGAAAGTATTTTTTTTAATAAAGCAGAAAAAAATCATAAAGTCACACTCAAAAATATTCATTTTCATACAAGTTTATTGAGATATAAATATATACTCATTTGTGCTTCTTTACAAATATGTTGCTAGAGATACAAAGCATATGCATAAATATGCAAAAACTAGTCACAAAACATTAGCCATTATATAAGTATACATGGATTGTAAAAGTGAAGAAAATGGTATACAGTAAAAATAAAACATCTGGCTCTCCAGAAATGCATTTTAATGAGTGTTTTAATGAAAGCATGAGATAAAGCTAACATATGGTCATGTTATCAGTGAAGTTTTATTGTAGAGAAATATTTTGAAACATATTTTGTAGCACATAGATTCACCAACATTTACCAAAAACAATTAAAAATACTATAAATTAAACAACTGTATATTTACTAATTTTTTATTATTGTTATGAACTTTAAATTTCTATATTGATTTTTTTCTTGTGAGGAAGCACTCACATGTAGCACAAAATGAATATATTTTCATGAAAAATAATAAGAATTATAGCCATGAAGTTCTCTTACCGGTGTTTCTTTCTGGACCATGGAATTGTTTTGAAAGCTGGTTGTGATCTATACACACACTATAATAAAAAAAGAAATTTGCCCAAAATTCTCCAAGAGGCTTGCGCAAGTTTTCCTACCACTGAGGCTCTTGCAGGAAACACAATGCTTTTCTCACCTACAGCTTCACCCTCAACCCTTCAGCTTCCTCCAATAATGAAAGTTCATTGCTTAGAGGAAACATCAAATATTTTGTGTAGCACAAGGAGTCTATGAAATGATTTCTGTTGACATTGCGGTTCTGTAGCCTCAGGAGGTCATTGGCAAGATGCCATTTTGTTATAGCAACTTCATTCCCTAAAGTAGGGGCCATGTGAGAAATGTCAAACCATGTTGAAAGAGAAGGCACTAACTTACTGCCAGGGGCCAGAGTACTACAAACACTGACTTAAAGGGAAATTGTTTTGACTAACAAGAAAGTAGAGGATATAGGGGGAAAGAGCAGAAGGGCTCTACAGAAGAGATGGGTGTTGAGGCCACTCTACCAATTCTTGTAAGATTGACTTTTAAGGCTCAACTGCTTTACCTAGAAAGTGAGAGAATATTTATTCTTAGTCTACAACTTTGTTGGGAAATTAAACTAAAAAAATCAAGCAAATAGGAATAACCTACATGTGAGTTGAGGCCTCTATGCCCCCAGTTAACGTATATACTCAGGCAAGTTGAGTTAAAGTCCTGCACAACTCAGATGGAAACTCAACCCGTTGGCTCTATGTATTAATATGTATTAATTTAGAACAAACCAAGAAGCCAGAACCACGCACAAAGTTCTTTGGTGCGTTTAGTAACCTTATTGGACATTAAGAGGTCACAAGTTGTAGTCTACGGTTTTCTCTCCCCCTTTCATCTCCTTTCTTCACTCCATTTTTTTCTTCCATTTTGGTAACAATTAAATTCCTCTCCTTTCTCTGGCTGAGCAGGTTTGCACCATTCTTTGAAGCTTTGGTGCCTCCTGTCTTCCCGGATCCAGAGAAAGACATTCATGCCCGAGCTTATCGGTCACTAGGTAAAAGATTGTTCTGTCTTCTCTCCATAAGAAACTGGTAGCAGCACCTAAGGAAGTCCAATTTTTACCAGCTCTTTACCATTAATTATTTTTATTAGCTAAAACAATGCTAAATCATTTGGAACCTTCAAAACAATGACAATCAGGGAATATAATTAGATGAATTCCACAGGAATTATTCCTAATTTAAAGTAATATTCAATTATACATCATAACACACAAAATATCGCCACTTGCTATTTTTCCTTACACTAAAAGCAGTGTGCATAGAAGTGTAGACACCTCTGGGATCTATGACAAATTTTGAGTCCATAAACTCTGTTTGAAGATTTCATGTTTTAGTGTTCTCATATTGCAATACCCTTTGACATTTATGATACCTTTTAATACTCACCATATTTAGACCTTTTGGTACCCTATGATACCCTTTGACAACTTTTGATAATTTCATATTCATGATGGCTTTTGATAGCTTTCATTCTTATGATACCCTTTGATACCCTATGATAGATACCCCTTGATACCATTCATATTTATGATACCTTTTGATGTTTATGATATCCTTTGATACCTTCCATATTGTGATACCACATGATTATTTTGGTACTCTATAATATCTTTTGATATCTCTTATATACCCTTTCAAAAATTAAAGGGGCTTATTCTATCTGAATGATCCCACATGAACAACTAAGTATGAAGTAATCATCTACAGTAGAAATCTTTAACTCTTCAGTGAATTGATAAGATTACCTAGTTTCTTAAATTGTAGCATAAAACTAACAGCAAGTGTTGCAAGGTTTTGATTTATTAGATCATGAACAACACTGAGAAACTTCAGGGGGAAACACCTTGACCTGTGGTGATCTTTGGATGTGTCAACTTAGCCAGTTATTCAATCACAGTCTAATCTAGGTGTTGCTATAAAGTTATTTCAGAGTTCTGATTAAAGTCCATAATGAGTTAACTTTAAGTAAAAGAGATTCTTCTAGATTGTCCGGGTAGGCCTGATTCAATCAGTTGAAAGGCTGTCAGAGTGGAGCTGAAGCTTCCCTAGCACAAGAAAGATTCTGCCTATGGGCAGAAGCTCCAGTCCCAGAGTCCCAGCCTGCTCTTCCTGACAGCCTGCCTACAGATTTTAGACTTGCCTACCCAGTCCCCTCTGTTGCATAAAACAATCCTTGCAATAAATCTCTTAGTACATCTCTTGCTAGTTTTTCTCAGATTGAACCATGAATGCATAGGGCCCCTATGACCTGGTGAAATCTGCCCGGTAATCGTAAGCATTAATATCCAATAAATATTGTAAGCTAGCAGAACTTTGTAGGTATTTTAAAACTAACCTATAAAACAATACAAAACCAAAAAGGTTGCTTTTCATACAACTTTTAAACAGTTAACACTTCATTGCAATATTTTGAAAAGAAAGACACTTGCCTTTAATATTATTTTTACAAAATTATATCTATTTCTTAAAAAGTAATACTCGTCCACAAACCTAGGAAAATTTCAGTTACTGCAAATATTACCAAATAAACAATCAAGAGGCTACAGTGTAGAAAAACTTCAATACTAAACAAATGGTCTTGTGAAATGGCTATTAGTGGATGTCCACATGATGCTTTAAACCACCAAGGAGAACTGTCTTGGGGATTACATGTGCAAAGCAGAGATAAGATTTGTCACTTTACAAGAGACCAGTGAAAATTCAGAATAAATCTGGATCTTAACCCTTCCATTTTCCTAATCTCGCCAGCTCCTTGTCCCTGATTTTTTAAGATTATAGAACCAGTCTTCAACAAACCTTATTACCATCTAAACAGGACAACAGTGAGATGAAACATAAAATACTAAGCTTCATCCCAAAGACAATGAGCCATTATGAACAGGTTATGCACACTAGAAAAGACTACCAAGCTGTAAATTTCCAAGTCTGCAGAATTGCTTTTTTTCTTTCATGTTTCCCAGTGAAGTAAAATGTTGTGTGGACTTACAATATTCATTTAGAGGAGAGAAAGAAGCTACATTACATTTGTACATTTAATAGCAATGTAACAGATTTTCAACCTCGTTATACAAGTTCGGGGCACATTTACTGAAAGGGTTGGGAGAAAGAACTGTTGGTTTCAAATAATTTCCCAAAACCTGCTCTCCAACTGTGTCCAGGGATGTGTCTTTTATTTTATTTTGCTGAGGATGAGTTAAAATAGAAAAATAATGGAAGAGAATTCATGGCATCTGTTCTTTTGCAGACAATCTGGACCAAATTTGAGTCACTGAGGTTACAGGTTTGAGAGCTAAAAATGGATGAAACTGTTCATAAAAGATTTTGTGAAATTCTTAGTACAAAAAGATTTTCTTTTATGTCCAGGTGGCATATATGTAGCATAAAATTAAAATAACAAGTCTGACCTTCTTGCTAGAACAAAAGGTAAAATCATTTATAATCAGGGATTTGGGCTCTGAGCTTTCAGACTTAAAATGTTCTGGCAAGAAGCAAGCATGAGAGGAGAAGAAAACAGACAGATTTCAAACAGTCCAGAATGACCCTGTGATACATCTGTGATGCTATCAGTTCCAGCACTAGATTCTTAGTAAGAAGGAAATGGAGCTCAAATCAGAAATCACCAAAGGCCTTATTCAGTGGAAAATCCTGACCTTATTATTTGACACAAATCTGTTTCATGGTCTCAGTGACTAGAAGATGAGGAATCAAATACCAATGTGAATGACATTTCAGAACATGTGTGTGATTCGTGGAGATGTCATCATATGTTACCATTATACCTAATCAGAATTGCTTTGTCAGTAGTATGAGTAAAACAAGTCCTTTGAGGGCCAGGGATTTAGCTCAGTGGTTCCGGTGCCTGCCTTGCAAGCCCAAGGTCCCAAGTTTGATCCCCGGTACCAAAAAAAAAAAAAAAAAAGCAACAACAAGTCCTTTGGATTTATTATCATCTACTAGATTGTTCCTTTCATATACTGGTAAAATTCCAAGATAGATTTTGAAATTACCGCTGTTTATTTTTCTTGTTATACTGAAATTCTGTGTCAAGTGAAATATAAAGTCATATTTATTATAGTAAGAATAAAATGTTACTATAATGATAGGCTTTAGAACTGTTTATTAAATGTACCAGAACAATTACTAAGAACTTTGAAATAGTTAATAAATAGGAAAATATGTTGACAATTAATATGAATGTTAGGAGAAAACAGACAAGCTTGGTACCTTTAGGAAAACTGCTATAATAACTAGTCTTCAACATGTCACTCAACAATTCTCACCTCCTCATACGTATCCAAGCCCTATGTAGGACCTCATACTGACTAAAACTGCAAATAATAATTGCACAGTGTGAAATTTTTAGGACTCCATTAAAGTAGACATTTAAGCTTCTGATTTCGCTCTTCGATTACCTTTTTCTAGAGAAAGACAGCCACAGCTTAGTATGGACACTCAAATGCCCTGTGGAGAAGACCAAGTAAAGAGGAAATGGGATCCCTAGCTAAAAACTGGGACCAACTTGTTAATACTTTGTGTGAGCCAGCTAGAATACAGATCATTTGGACGTTTTTTGTTGTTTTAAAGTGCTAAGTTTTGGGGGTAACTTCTAATGCAGCATTTTGTAACTACCACAAGTATGATACTTCACAATCCAAGATATTCTTAAAGTAACACTATAAATAATATTTTTTTTTTTGGTACCGGGTATCGAACTCGAGTCCTTGCGTTTGGGCAGCAGACAGTGAAACCACTGAGCTAAATCCCCCGCCCCTATAAATGATAATTTTTGAGATTAGATTTTCATAATTCTAATCTTTTTTGAATTATTTAGTGTGTTATACTTATTAAATAAGATAATTCTTAAGAACCACACTTAAACTTTAGTTGTTTAATTACATTTAGTCTGAGTATTTTAAGAAAAAAAAAAAAAGCTTAATTTGGAATTCTTTGTATCCTATGAGGAGGAATTAAAACAAAATGTCAACTTTGCTTCTTCAGAATTTCAGAAGGAAACCCTCCAAAATTGTATCTAAAAATATCAATGATAAATTGCCTTTGATCAAGTCACAGTGAAAACTAGAAATAAGATAAAATATTAAAGATAACAAAACACATTTTTTCTCATTAATCAAACAGGAGAAAAATAGACCTTACAAAGACTTTTTTAAAAGCCTTTCCTGTAGTTCAGAGTCTAAGAAAACTAAAATGAAAGCAAAAACTATGACCTAAACTGTTAATGATATTGTTGAATTGCTACATATATATATATATATATATATGTTCAGAAAGTTATCAGAACTGCATAACAGCAAAATTAGTGGCCATAAAGAGAGAGATACTGGGTCCCTCTCAACCATTTTCTCCCCCAAGGAACCTATAAGGCACAAAAGAGATATGTGATTGCATATTCATGTTCTTATATAATACGTTCAAGCAAAACAGGCAGGAGCAACTGGGGTTACATACTATAAAAGCCAGCTTCGGCAATAATAAAAAAAAAGCCTTAATATTGCACTTTGCTGTTGACAGAACACATGTAGCAAAACTTGTTACCAACAAATGATTGTTGAGGAAAGAAGTGCTTTGGTGGGCTGGAGCCCACTGAAGAAGTGACTACTCTTACTGGTCTTGAAACTACAGGGACCTCTCCTATGATGCTGGGTCTAAACAATCATTGTAATTCAGGGAAATGCCGAAATCATTTCATAGGCAATGAACACTGAGATACAGGTAGAAATTAAGAGAATATGCTGCTAATTTTAAAGACAAGTTGTGTTGTGCCAGTGCCTACGGAACAAATCTATTTCAAGCAGTGGGGTTGGAGCAGTACACCAGAGTGCTTCAGAGACCTGGACCTCCCCATCTGTGACACATGTACAATAATAAATATAGTGCTCATTTTATAATCTCAGATCCTATTTTTACCACCTTTTAATAACCTTTCAGTCTGAAATAATTTGTGACTTATAGAAGAGTGACTAAAAAAAAGAAAGTACAGAGCATTCCCATATAACCTTCACCCAGCTTCACTAAGGTTGCATACTCACAGTACATGATCAAAACCACAATTTTGCTGTTAACTGAACTACAGATTTTTAGATTTCCCTCATTTTTCCCACTAAAGTCCTTTTTCTATTCTAGAATCCAGTTCAGAATCCCACACTGCAATTAGCTAACACGTCTCCATAGTCCTCTCTGACATATTGCAATTCCCAGTCCTTCCTGACTGAAACTTTTGTGTTATACTGCTATTACCTAGCAGTCTATTTGTAGAGCTTGCCTCAGTTTGTTTTGTCTCATGTTTACTCCATGATTGGAGTGAGTTTTGCACTATTTTTGGGAAGGATAACACAGAACTGATGTACACTTATTAGGGCACTGTACTCAAGATATCCAACAAATTTCTGTAAATTTGTATGTTGGAATAAATACTTTGAAATACAAGTACCCTGTATTTTACTCACTAATCTTAGTCTCCATTATGGAGCTTGTCTGAAACATTTATTACCAGTGGTAGTGTTATAGTGGTGTTATAGTGTTATAGTGGTGATTCTGTATTTAGCACCATTCTACAATTACTATTTGAAACTCTTCTGTATGAAAGTATCATCCTTTGTCCACCATTGTATATTTGTTCAGTTATTTATTTACATCAATATAGATATTTATTCTTTTCTGTCTGTATGATGGGAGCACGTCAATTTTTAAAACTTTTTTTTAGAACAAAATTGAGAGAAAGATATAGAATGATCCAATATAGGGAGGGATAGGGGAGAGGAAAGAGGGGAATGGAATTAATATGAGAAAATGAAAAAATGGAAATAAAGTCTTTGTAAATAGGGAGGGATGGAGGGTTGAAGGGAGGGTAGGGGAAGGGGGAAAAATAAGAACCAAGAGAGCATGTAAAGGTGCATATCTCCAATGATGAATGTCATTATGTTGTACACCTAAAATGTACCAATAAAAGGATATACAAAAAAAAAAGAAAGAAAGATCCAATATATTCTCTCTTCCCACCACATATTACCTTCCCACTTATTAGCATCTCCCATCAGAGTGCTACATTTGTTATAACTGATGAGTCTACAACTGACACATCAATATCATCTAAAGTAAATAGTTACATTGAAGTTCATTCTTTATGTTGTACATTCTATGGATTTGGACAAATGTATAATAATATATATCCACCATGATATACAAAGTAGTCTCACTGCTCAAAAGTATCATATAAAGTAGTTTTACTGCTCTAAAATTTCTATGTTCTGTATATTCATCTTCTCCCTTCCTGAAATCCCTAGTGACTATCAATCTTTTTACAGTCTCCATAGTTTTACTTTTTCCAGAATATTTATATAACTGGAATTATACGTTGTGCTGCCTTCCAGAATGGCATCTTTCACTTAGTAATATGCATTTAAATTTCCTATATGTCATTTTATGGCTTGAAAACTCATTTTTTATAGTACTGACTAATAAAATATTTTATTGTCTACATGCACCACAGTTAATTATCCAAGAAGGTCATCTTGGTTGCCTCGAACATCCCATAATTAGAAATAAATCTTCTATAAACATCTGTGACCAAGGTTTTGGTGTGGACATTAGTTTTACAGTACTCTGGATAAATACCAACACATACAATTACTGGATAATATGGTAAGAACATGTTTAGTTCCATAAGAAATTGCCAAACTATCTTCTGCAATAGTTGTATCATTTTGCATTTCCATAAGCAAATGTACAAGCGCTCCTGTTGCTCTGCTGCCAGCATTTGACATTGTCAGTGTTCTAGATTTTAGACACTGTAAAAGTGTGCAGTCTTATATTATTGTTGTCTTAATTTGCATTTGTCTGATGACAAGTCATGTGGAGCATCTCTATGTTAATTTGCAATCAATATCTTCTTTGTTGAGGTTTCTGTTAAGGTCTTCAGCACATTTTTAATCAAGTTTTTTTATTTCTGGATCTTAAGAGTTCTTTGTATTTTTTATATCATGGTCCTTATCAGACAGGTCTTTTATAAATATCCTCTCCCAATGTTTGGATTCTCTTGACAGTGTATTTTGAAGAGCAGAAATTTTAATTTTAGTGAAGTTCAGATGATCAATTCTCTCTTTCATAGATCATGGCTTTGGCGTCATCTCTAAACCACCACCCCCCCATTTTTTTTTGAGACAAGGTTTCCCTTTGTGTTCAGGCCGGCCCTGAACTACTTTGCACCTCAGGCTGGCCTCGAACTCATGGTGATTCTCCTGCTTCTACTGTGCTGGGATTCCAGGCGTGCACCACCACACCAGGCCCTAAAAACCCATTTCTAAACCCAAGGTCATCTAGATTTTTCCTGTTATTTTATGAAATTACTAATTTTGCCTTTTACCTTCAAATCTGTGATCCATTTTCAGTTCACTTTTGTGAAAGGTATAAGTTCTGTGTCTAGCTTCATTTTTTTCTCATGACATGTCCAGTTGTTCCCTCACCATTTGTTGAAAAGATTTTCTTTGCCCAGTGTATTTTCTTTTCTTTTTTGTCTATAGTATAGTACATTGTGAATTTACATTTGTCATCTTCCTTCTACAATTACTAATTAGACTTCTGCTCTAAGGAATTGATGACCCTTGTCCATCATTTGTATTTTGATTTATTTATTTCAGCAGAGAACCACGAATATTTATTTTATTCTTTGGGTTAACTTAAATTAAATTTGCCTAATTTTTGTTTTGTTTATTCCATAGTTAAAAGGTGTCTGGACCAGGAAGATCCCGTGCAATGCTCACATCAAAAGTCTGTAAACCAGTGTAATCCCAGTTATGTAATGGCATTTTTAAAAAAGTTCTTCACAGAGCTCTTTCTTAAATAATGTGTGTGTGCAGTCTATCCATACTTGTCTCAGATATTCCATAAATGTTTGTCAAGTGAATTAGTAATTGATTATCACTGAACACATATTAATAATCATAGCATAATAAATTACTATATCAAGTAAAGACTATGGTCCTGCCAATAAATATCATGCAGCTTGCATTTAACAGGCTTTTATTTCATCACAAATATATGTGATCAAAGAACACAAAGTTACTCTTTAGGGCACATTGTTAACATCATTATTATATCATTATTTCAAGATGTTCATCGTGAACCCTTGGGTAAGGTAATGTTTGTAGGTTTGTCCATTGTAAAATCTCTATATAGAGATACTTTGATACTAAACAAATATCCTGTCCCCTCTTAAACTTTTATCTATAATTCCACCCACTAAGTCATTCTTCTAGATCAACAGAGTTTGAAATACTTCTATTGGATAATAGGAAAGTTAGAAATTTCTCCTGGAAAAATAAACTATCCTGACAGAACATAAGAGATATAGGAAAAAATACATAATTTCAATAAAGCTCAAGAATTCTGTCTGTTCTTTGGGTGTTTTAGTAAAAAGCAAATAAATGGCTTTTGCTTGAATGTATCCAGATAATGGGTAAGTTGAATATTACAAGTTGAATAACCAAGGTGTAAGGGTATGTGCTTTGTCAGCATTGCAAACATAAATTTCAGTATCTAACATCTTTTGTGATGTGAAACATTTCTTCTCCACTAATGCCCTTCTGCTGTGAATAATTAAATGATTCAAATTTCTTTCTTTAAAGTAATTTAAAAAGAACTAATAAAAAAAATCTTGAAGGGTGTGATAAATGATAAATGATTGTTACTGTTTTATGTACTTATCATAACATGCTGTGCTTTTCATCCTTTAGAGCATAATCCTACTTATATAAAAGAGTTTACTGTGAAACAATGTGCTGCTACACCAGTGGTAGCCTCATGCATCTCGTGTTTAACTGTGTATTTGGATAATATCAAGGAGCCATCACAGATGATTGACATATGCCTTCTCAGTTTGCACTTAGAAGTTGGCACTCTGTGTGGTTCTTTGCGATACACATGGATGAAATTGCCTAATAACATATTTCTCAGATTATATTTCCACCACGTGTCACATGACTGTATTGAAATTCAAATTTAAAAAGTTTGGCCTATGTGGAGTCTACTAGCTAATTAGAATTTTTTTCCAGACCACTATTTGTTTAATATTAGTTTTAAAAATCTTTCTAAAATAAATCACATCCTTTGATGTCTTGTTAATGCTTGAGATTTTTTTTAATTATATGGAAAAATGTTTAAGTACTTTTCAGTTTTGCTTTGGTTGAGTTCTATTATATTTGAATATTATTATAGTTTTTTTTCCCTTGCATTGTTTTCTCTGAATAATTTTAATTTTTGTATATGTGTGTGTTTAGTGAATGATAATAAAGTTATACATTTTTAAAAATCTTGAGTTCTCATTTTAGCCCAAAAGTACTAGGAGAAGAGAAAAAATGGAAAATTATTTTCCACTGACAATCTCCAGGATTAGAGCGTAACATATTTTGAAGCTTCTTGGAAATTCTAGAAAATAAGAAGTCACTATTACAAACATATGTTAAACATGAGATGCTGATTAAAATCAGTATTTAGGGAGGAAAATTACTGTCAACCATTAATTTCATTTCTTAAAGATATTATATACTTCATTTTTTTTATCATCTAACAGAAAGAACAGAGAGTTTCCATCAGGAGACCAAAGTTCATGTACACCATTTTTTCATGGGATTAAGATGTACCAACTCTGAAAACTGCACCTCATGCACTATGTTAGACACATAGTTTTTGCTGAATCCATATGGGGTAGAGCTGAGAATGTAGTTCTTATTGGTTCACAAAACAACTGCACTTAAACCTGTCTTTAAGAGTTAATAAATAACAGAGAAATTAGTGAAATTAAATGAAAAGTGTGCAAAATGTGTACATAAAATGCAAAAATTGAGGTCAAGGTTATAGCTTCATGTTTAGAATAGCCTTAGAGGACAGCCAATAAGTCTAAAATATTTTCCTTGATTTTGATCCAACTCTAAGTAGTCCAAGATATTTTCACTGAATGCGAAGACATCTGAACAATTCAGAAACTAAAATCTTTTGCAAAGAACATCAACAGTGAGCATGGCTACACGATTTTTCCATGACCTCGGCCAAGTCAATATGTCTCTCTACACCTAAATTCTTAGGCCACATTTATAAAATTTGAAATTATGATGCCACACTCCTTCTCAATGTCATTGTGAAGGTTATCCAATAGGAGACAGCATTTCAAAACAGTGAATGGGCTCCCTGAAATAAAGTCAAACGTTAGTATCTGTTCCCAAGACATGATGGATTTTTCTTTTCTGGGAGACTTCTTGAGGTCATTTGTCCTGAAAATTTTTAGCATCTACTTGACAGGAAAGAAGAATATTGGGTAGAATTTCTTAACATTACTTACAGCTTTATTCTCTTATAATTTAAATGTTATTCTCATATAACTATTCTCAATAAGGCTTGATCCATGATAGGGGATCCACCGTCATCTTCTCTTATCCCCCTAAATAATTCTCTAGATTACAGCCAAAATTATCTTTTAAAAGCACTAGTACAATGCCCTTTTAGGCCCTGGAATGGTTTGTCTCAGAATTGAGGACAGACACAGAACTGCTTAATGGTCCACAAAACATCTTACACCCTGACACCTACCTTCACACCATTCTCTTCTAGAAATTTCCCTACTTGTCTTCTTTCAGCACCTCTACATCACCCTCCTCCCCATCCAGGCTCAGAGTCTTTCACGTTCCTCCCTCCTGTCTTCTCCAAGTTCCATACCTGCTCCCCCTTTTGGGGTGTGGATCACTTTCTTAAACATGTCTCACCTAATAACCTAGTACTGTTCTCATGTGCTTGACAGTGCTCACTGTAATTGCAATACACATTTTTATGTGTGATTATTCCATCAACATCTGGCTTCTTCACTAAACTGTAAACATGGGGATTTTTGACATATTGAAATCATGTTGTCTCCAGGGCTTAGTGCTCAAAACATAGGAGGGTCTAAGTACATTTTTGTTGAATGAATATTATTTGCTAAATTCATTATTCTCATAACAGATGAAGACAGCCAAGTGACCTGGGACACAATGAAGCTCCCCTTTTGAATGACCTCTGTTCACAAAAAAGATGAGCAAAGCAATATATTGGTAATGATGGCTATGAAAGGTCTTTCTTTCAATAAGCCATTTTAAGAAAATCAACTTCTTTTTAAGCCTGGCATCTCCTTTGAGAATACCAGCAGCCCTGGTTTCAGCAAGGAATAGAAATACAGAGATGATCAGCAGCCAGTGTCAGAATGCATTAGTGAGTCTCAGAACTGCCCCTCAAAGGACAAGAGCGCAGCCTGCTAGGAGGTCTAACCTAGTTTCTATCACTTGATATTGTGTGGTAGTGCCTACCTCTCCTTTCTTTGATCCTCTTGTGGGGGGAATACTAATCACTTTTGCTTCCTAGAGCAAGAGTCCTAAAGTCCTCTGGGAATCTTGTTCTTTTAAGGACAAGAGAAAGCCACCAAAATGCTTACCAAAAGTATACTGGGTGGTATATGCTCCCTGTTTTTATGAAAAATAAAACCTGTCCTTATACACTGGCATACCTTTAAAAATATAAAGTTAAGAAGAAGCAAGTATTAGTGAGAGACCATCTCTCAGGTGAAATGCTTGGGTTTCATGTCATGAATTACAAGGTGGCAAAGCAGCTTTCTGAAGTAGAATATGAACAAAGGTAGAAATGTGATAATCAAAGCCCCAGACATAGGAGAAGGAGTCTGGAATTTTCTTTGAGTACAGAAAAGGTTCTTTCTGCCCTTGAGCAAGCTTGAGTCTCTTTTATTCTCTTTTATAATATGGATTTCATTCTTTCATTCTCTATTTTATCCTGTCTTTTTCTAATTATATAATTTATCAATGTTTCACATGTCTCCTCTAGGATATAGCCAACTTGAGTATAGGATCGTATTCAAAGTGAGGATACCCATAGCAAAGTGTAAGGCACAAAAGAGTTTACTTAATAAACTCATGTGAATCATCAAATTATGTATCTAATAATCCTTACTGTGTGTGAAACTATTTTAGGCACTTTCTACATATGTTAAGTACTTTACCTTCTTTCTTATTACTGGAAGCTTGGCTCTGTGTCCATTGTGATAGAAGAGTAGGGCTCTGTTCCTGAAGACCGTTCCTAAAGGAATGCACATGTAACATCAAACAAGCACTCACTTCATCCCTGACAGTAATAAGGTGACGAACAGCCCAGCCAAACTGCCAACATCCTCATATGACATCATATAAGACATGCAGCTGACTGTTACAAGAGATACTAGAAGGACTGGGAACATTTTCTAGAGAACCCTAACTTTTGAGGACAAAAAAAGCCTGTGGCTGTACCCCTCACTTCCTTTACCTGCATTTTTTCCCTGCAGGGCTCCCAAAACTTGCAGTCAATTTTATATCAATTTTCTATACTTTCTGGGAAATTTATCAACCCAAAGAGATTATTTTGTGATTATCCTAGTAAGAGAACCAGATCCTACATCTAATTGCTCTGAAGCAAGACCTACTAGTTGGCAAACTGTGCCTCAAAGTTCCAAATAGTTTTTTTTCCCAAAAAATAAGCAACCAGAGACCACCAGGCAACTGACAGAAGCTTTACCATAGACAGAGCTTGAGCAAACAGAAAACAGGAGTACTGAGAAAACAAATTTAAGGGAGGATACAGAAAGAAATCCTAAAATGTTTCAATTGATTTCGTGTAGAAGGTAAGAGAAATATAGAGTACAATAATCTAGAAGAACATAAAACTTTCATAAAACGAGAAAAGGACGCTATGCTACATTTTTAAGCAACAGAGAAAAGAAAGATTTTTGAAAAGTAACAGAATATTTCAAAAGAAGCATTGAAAAATAAAATGGAAAGTTGAAATAAAGTAGAGATGAAGGGAAAATTTTATTTATTTCACCAATTCAGAAAGTCATTCAGAATCTAAATTATAATAGTTTCCAAAATACAGAGCAGAGAAAAAAAGATAAGAGTTATCAGAAAGTAAAACAAGACTATTTTCTAGAATCAAAGGCATATATTTCTAGGGTTAAGGGGGCCCACTGATGAATCCACATGAAGCTACATCATATAAAATTCATGAACAGCAGGAACTGAAAATAGGCTTTAAAAGTCAGAATATTTTTTAAATCATCAGTTTCTTTTACAGAGGATCAATAAACAATATAAAATTATCACTCAATGAATGTATTGATGGGGAAAAAACTATACTACCAGACTGTCTCCCCAAGAAAAACTGAAAGCAGAAAACAATAGAAAACTGTATTTGAAACTCAACAATTTATTTCTATTCTAGAACACAAGCCCATCAAACCAGCAAATGTGAAAACAGAAGAGGTATTTTTGGATAGAAAAATAAAAGATGGCTGGGAATGTAGCTCAGTGGCACAGTGCCTGCCTGGCAACCATGAGGTCTTGATTTCAATTCCTGGTACCAAAAAACAAAAACAAGAAAAACTAAAAGTGCCTACCTCAGACCCTTTCCCAGAAGACTGCTAAAGGATGTACTTCCTTAAATAAGAGTAACAAATCAGGAAAGAGAAAGGTGTTCAAGCAGGGGACAGAGACCCTGAAAGGGGTGGGGGCCCTATGGACAGGGATGAGCTGACCTCCTGAATCAGCA